TATATATATATATATATATATATATATATACACACACACACATACGCACACAACGAAAAAAATACTAGTTTTAGTAGCTTTCTTTATAGCAGACACTCGACAGATGACGCCACTACTTAATTAAAAACAATTTGTACTGAAACAATTTTTTTAATATTCTGATTTTCAGAGATTTCTAATTCAGTGGACATTCCGGATTTCATTTATTTTTAAATAATAAAATAGTTACCCTTTCAGAGTTACATTACACATCATTTGCAATGTAAACAAAGTAACTTTTTACGACTCTATTACTGTGACAAAGAATATTTGCAAGGTTACTACGTTCTATCTCTAAACAATATCTTTGGCACAAATGAGAAATAAAAGTATCATAGAGTGATTTTTAATTTAGATTCATCTACGTAAAAAGATCATGAAGAATAATTCTTTTCTTTTAAGATTGAGTCTCGAGAATTAGGGGAAATGCAGACTTGATGTATAAAACCTTACAATATGCCATAAAGTTTTAATATTCGTGGCGCCATCTACAGGGTCATAACAGATTTACTTACTAACTACTATGTTTGGAAACGTGTATGATCATAAACAGGTTCAGAGCTGTCGATAAATTTTGTAGGATGTTGGAAAATCGATAGCTTAGAATTTACTTCACATTTTTTAATATCATTTATATATGGTTTTTTCTAATTATTCATAAAAAATGATAATTTTAGGAAGTTATTAATTATAAAATTGAATTTAAATTTCAGATTATACTTTTATTTTAATCGATCGATGTTATACCAAGAAAGAGTATAAAAAAGGGATGAATATTTTAGTTTAAACAATCATATAAAAACTTTAAAATTACTAAATCATATTTTTTGACACTATAATTTTGATTTCTTTGAATGCGTGAATAGAGAAATATAAAAACCAATGCTTATAGAAATTTCATTCTAGATTATTGAAATTTAACTATCAATTTCCTTTTAGAAAAAAATATATATATTATTATAATGAATAAAAGCAAATAGATTGAAAAATTAAATTTAAATAGAGTGGGGACCTATACTCCAGTACAACTGCCCCACCACACGACTTAGAGTAGATACATATCCGGAAGGTAGGTTCAAATTGTGCTTAACCACCCACCCGGGTAAATTTTATTATTCGAAAATGTTTAACCTCTTCCCCTGGCCCAACCCCGAAGTACTATACTTTGATCCTTTATGATTATTTTAGTGTTTAAAAAAGTAAATGGAATTTCTGGTTTACTTGTAAAACCATGTTCATTTTCTTACATACGCATTTCGAGCCATGTTCATTTTCTTAAATACGCATTTTGAGCTACGTCTATTTTCATAAATACGTGTTTATAACTTTATCAATTTTATAAAACCACTCATTATAAGGATGTCCTCCATAAAATTCCACGGATATACTAAAGCTCCATGTCGACATGTTTTATTGAATTCTGACTTAAGAAACATACTAACATTAAATGAGTTTGATTTCCTTAGGTGAAGAAAAAAAGCTTTGAAAAGCAGAGTGTAGGAGATAATCAAAAATATTTAACAGTTTCTAAACAGCATTTGCTTTCACAATCAAATATTTATTCAAATGTCTCACGACGCTTCAAAAAAAAAAAAAAAAGAAGAAATGAATAAACACTGTAACATCCGTTAAAGTCAAGATGATAACAAATACGAAAGATCTTATGTGTTTGTTCAGATGGGTAATTCGGATTTTTTTTCTTCCCTTCGTTCATAATTAGCTTGCATTGTCATAACTAAGGCATTAATCGAAATTAAATTTTTGTATTATTATTTTATTCCATATTAAAATCATTGTTCGGTTTATTAAAATGTTTTGTAAGTTTACAATAGTTGATATTAAATAATTTTTTTAATTTTATTTTCTACTGAATCTTTCATTACCGTGTAATGCGTAATTACAAAAAGTTTTGTGTATCGAATTGTTATAGACTAGCAACTTTACCCGGCGCTGCTAACATCAATAAAGTAATAATCTAATATATATAATTCTCTTACGTGGTTCCCAGATTTTGGCTGTATTTCTTTTCGCCGGTGACAACGTTTGCTTTGTTTTGTTTATGTTACTATTTCTCTTACACGGCGAATCGACCAATGATTGCCGCTAAAAATGTCACATGCCAAATCTAGCTGAGGTGGCTCAACATATAGCGCTTTTAAAAACGGAAACGGAAATAACCAGAGAGCATCAGCTGCGGCAATCTCATACTATTAAGCTAGGCAGAAGTGAGTAGTCTTTGTCGATAGATCTCTATTTTAGTATTTTGTCGAAAGCACTTTTTATCACGAATTTATTTGACGATTTTTGATTTATATCACGAATTATATTATAGCACATTTCTAATAGGTTTAACGAATTACATATCATTTATTTGAATTCAAATTTATTTTAATGACTTTGTATCTACTAAAAAGATGTACTTTTTTTTAAAAAAAAAAGTTTTTATATGGATTGGAATGATTGTTTTGAATTCTTAGAATTTTGTGCATTTGCAATGTACCTAAGTAAGTTAGTAGCGAACGAAGCGAGCTTGGTTTGCGAAGCAAACCATATAAGATTGCGTAGCAATTTTCGGGGGTTGGCGAGCGTTAGCGAGCAGGGGGCGCAGCCCACTAGTAAATTTAAATGACTATCAAAATTTTTATTACATTGGATTATAATACAATAAATTAATCTTAAAATTATGTACAGAAATTATTTCATTTTCCTATTTTTCATTTTGTGATTAGCCAAATCCCCTTCTCTTATTGTTTATTGATAAAAAAAAATCAAAATTGAATTAAAGGAAGAAGTACTTTTTTTCCTTTTTTCTCCGTCTGATTTCGTAATTCACAATTGGCACGAGTTAGAATATTTGAGGTTAACATTTTCAAACTTTAAGACGTTTACTTCGCATGTGGAAATCCGAACATTTGAGCAAGAGCTATTCAGGTAACGTCTTTCCTTTCTGGCTCATTGTTATTGTATCAATTTGGAACAGTCAAAACGTATCAGTACTATGCCGCTTCAGAGGACCGTAAGAAGTCTCCAAACGATTATTGACGCCATTAATGTTTAATTAAACTGTGATTATAGCAGCTACTGATATTGTGGTAATGAGTACTTAATATAATAATTTAGGTTTGCGGCTATGGAATAGAACCGTTGTCCTTCCCGCCCACTCGAAACGTCTTTGAGCACATTTCGATATGCACCGTATTATTTGCCAGTCATACTTACGATTTTCAAAAACAATTTTGATACCATTTCATTTTGAAAGAGGGAAGAAAAAATCTGAAATTTCGATATTCGAATTCTTTAAAATTCGATTTCTCAGGAACTATTTAATCAATTCCGCTGAATTTCGTATTTCGCCATGTAAAATTGCATACTTTAAAATGACGTAAACCATTTTATACCTTGCAATTCAAAAATTTTTCTGATTATTATTTAATAAAATAATAAAAAATAATATACTTACTGAATTTTATTTTGTGCGTTGAATTATCTTTGGATAAATGAATTTTATATTTGAGTGCAATTTTTTTTTTCATTTCACGAAAAAAGTTCTCGAGATATGGTAAAATACGCAAAAAGCTAACATTAAGGGATCCAAACTTTGGATCCTCCCCTTTACCAAACTATGGAGACCATGTTTGCTAGATTGCGGCTACCCCCTACATTTTGGGGGTCAGAAATCCAAATCCGTTGTAAAAAAGATGTGTTTATTCCAAAAAAAGTACGTTTTTGTGTCTGATTTCGTATCTTCAAACATCGTCTGCACTAATTACTATTTAGCATATTTGAGGTCACCCTCTTAAACCATTAAAATTGAGTTCTAAAACATGAAGATCCGATCATCAGATCAAAATTCATTCAGGGTAATCCATTTTTTTTTTATTATAATTCTGTCACACTGTACATTAAAACTTTTAGTAAGGATTAATAATAACAGTTTCACTACTGAATCTGCTTATTAATCTACTTATTTTTATTGCTGAATTTATTTATTATTATTATCTAAATTACTAATTTATTTTTGCTAAAATTAATTAATTAACTTTTTTGGAAAACAAAAAATATTTTATTACGTAAGCATTATTTTCTAAGCAATCTATTATTATATGTTACCTGCAATCTATTATCTGAGTGAAGCATTATTTTCTAAAGCGAATTAATTTCTGGAGAGTAAAAAATATTTTATATTTGAAAAAATTTAAGGATATTTTATAGATAATAATAAAGTTTTAAAAAAGAACAATTTCTACTAACTTTCAAATAAAAAATAATTCAAAATATCGATTTAAATTTTTATTAAACGATATACTATTATAATATTTTTCATTTTTATTTAAATTTTCCTTTTAATTAAAGTTTTTTGCTCCTATTAAAGGCTACATCATTATAGTTCTCTTTTCAGGGGTATATAATCAAGAAGTTTGCCCCGAGATTCTACAGTTTTCACCCTATCGTAGAAAAGCAGTTTTCACCTAATTCTTTTTAATTCCCAAATTTATAAATAATACACCTTCTTTCAGAGCGACCCAAACTTTATAAATGAAATTTAAAGTAATTTTGAACCTTACCATCTATAAGAAACTATATTTAAAATATTTAATGAGAGGAATGAAGTTTTTGTATCGGTTTATCATTAATAATCTTTAAATTAGGTTTTATATCCTACAGTTAAATTTACAGTCCTAGTGCTATATCTGGAATAATTATGGATTTGTTTCCAGTGTGTAATACATAAGCTTAAAATTAGCCGAATTACGGTTTACTTCGAAATGAAAACTTAAAAAAACTGCTATAAACGTTGAAATTGGTTATTATGGAACCATAATTCTTTTAATAAAGAATTTTATTTATTTTGATTTGGAAACCGTGATAGGAAATACAGTAGGGAACCGATTATCCGGAACGATCGGGACCATCGCTATTCCGGATAACTGATTTTTCCGGTTTTCTGAATCTCTACAAAAAGCCGTCTTTTTTTATTGTTAAACCCAACTAAAAAAATATATATATTGGGAAATAATCTTAAAAAGAGGAAAAAACGATGAAGTAATACACTGGTGATTATTTCCAAAATGATGGTGAGGTAAACATCTTTCAAAAAAGAAAGAAAAATCCTAAAATCTTATGAGGAAAAAAATATTTTTTTAAAAAAATGGCGGGAAAATTTATCGAATTTCGTTCCGGTTTTTTGGTTTTCCGGTTTTCTGATTTCCGGATAATGGATTCTGTACTGTACTAATAAAATATTTTACAAATGCTTGTTTGCTTGTTTTTTATAATTTGTTTAACATATTGTTATTAGAAATTTTATATTTCCCTTAAAAGAAATGCCATTTCTATTTCTTTGACATTTTACTTAAAATAATTAAAGGGCAACAGTACAATTAAATAAATTATGAATTGTAGGTCGAATCTAAATATAATCAGATGTTTCAAAACTCATCACTGGTAATTAGAAGTGCTAACTCACGGAACCCCCGTTAACTAATTCACGGAAGCCAAGGGTGCCAAGGAACACCATTTGGGAACCGCTTACCAAAATATTTGAGATAAAAATATGTATTAGGGGACTAAAATATTTTTATAAAACATAATTTGATGATACGCGATAAAAACATGACAAGATTCTTATAGAAATAAATAGAGGGAAACAACTACATAAATGAAAGTATTTCAAAATACCATCGCAATGCAAACGATATTTAAATTGGCTTGAGTTAATAGAATAATAAAAGGAACCTTTTATCGCCACTATCTTATCGATCTCGAAACATTTATTCTACCACATTAGCACCGCCCTTGTAACCGTCGCACGCAACCTTCGCGACTGTGTGAATCTCGAACATCTGCGCTCTGAAGGGCCCAGTGACGGAGTAGAACAATAAAGAAAACGGACCGGAAAAAAAGCAGCTTGTTGCCATTTATTTATTTAAAAAAAAGCACGTGTTGATTACGCCGATCTCAATCAGGATGATAAAGGTCGTAGAATGAATGCATGAAAAATAGAATGGCGGATTATCTCAAATCTTTTTTGAGATAATTAATTTGATCGAGTGCTTTCATCCATTGCATTCGGTTGAGAACTCGACAGTGGAGCAACCTACAAAAATCAATACAATTCTAGAACTGCTTACTTCGAACAAGAATGTTTATTCTTCTTCTGTCAGCTTTTATTTTCGGGTACCTTCCGAATTCAGTTCCAGCTCAGGTAAAAGTCAAATTGAGTTAACTTATTTTTAAAAATAAAATAACGCTTGTGTATTTTTTTGAATTATTTAATTACCTGCTATGTTGATGTTATGTTTCCAAATGAACGCCAAATATAAGGCCTAAATTGTAACAATTCGTTAATTTAGACAAGTTAGTAAAACAAAAAGTGAATGTAGAATTAATGAATTAATTAATGTTTATTATTTTTAAATTTATTATTGGTTAAGAAGAGAATGTGATAATTTCGTTAGCATTTAGTTATTGTGTTTATTCATTGATTAATTCACTTAATAACCCTTTGATGCAGAATTTTTATTAAGTACATTTTCCTACTTATTTTATTTATAATGCAAAATAACGATAGAATAATAACAAATAGAATTCATTAAAATTTACAGTATCACTAATTGAAGTACAAAAACAATAACAATTTGTATTTAAAGTAAAATTGATTTAACTAGAATTACGAAATAACAATGCATTTATTGTCCCTAACAATATCTTTCTTAAATACAAGTTGATAGATACTTAACGATATTGCTTACCAAGTAAATTATACTATAGCACTGATCATTAATACATGCTACCATAAACTTACTCATTTAGTCAAATAAAATAACTTAAATGTAATTTTACATACTAAATTTAATTGCTAAAATTAATTGCTGTCTTAACACTTTCTATAAATGTATGAAAATATTCCCAAAATGTTTCTTCTAAAGTGATACAGCAATTTATATCTAAAATAATATTTCTTATTTCGACAAATCATTAACCGATTTTTATAGTTTATGTATACTGTGAATCATTAATTTTTTTAGAAAAAAGTAAAATAACTTAAATGACATTTTACATGCAAAATTTGATTTTTTAAAATTGATTTTAAACTTGACACTTTCGATAAATATGTACAAATATATTTAAAAACTGATTATGATATTATTGATCTATTCTGATCATTCATATCGTACGCTTATTTTTTCAGTCAAATTATGCAAATTATTTAAGTTACTTAACTGCAAACTTAACACTTTCTATAAACATGCATAAAATTATTTCTTAACTGATGTTTCTAAAATGATACAGTAAAAATATTTAAAATAATATTTAATATTTAGCTAAATCATTGATCCTTCATACATACAATCATACACTTATTTTTTAAATCGAAATAAAATATCTTAACTAAAAATGTAATACTTAACAAAGTTATAAATTATTATTCCTAATAAAAGAAAAAATATTTTGATTTATTTATAATTTTAATATTTAGTTTATTTTGCTGAAATGGCTTGTACGCAGAGAAAAAAGCATGCTCAAAACTACCAGAATATGGTAAAATTTACGGTGTTTCTGGCTCCATAGAAAAACCAAAATACCCGGTAATTTTTAGAAAAGCACTTTGTTAATGATTTTGATAAAATATGGCTGTATATTATGTTGTAGAATTTGGTAAATGAGGTAAAATATAGAACTTTATCATGGTAGCTTTCGCATCAAGTGAAAATCATTCAATCGGTTTAACTTGCTTTTCAGTTTTGTAATTTTTTTACAAAATGCGTGATGATAAAAGGTATAATTTTGAAAACCAGAATTTTTAAAGCCGTCACTATATGAACAGAAAAATTACCAAATAAATGTTTTAAATACCGTGGATTTTGGTTTTATTAACTGGTCTTATTTATTAGAAATGTCATTATCATACGGAGCAGTAATTTCACCAGATTTTTTTCGCAGTATTGCTTTACCTTTCTTAAAATCTGAATTTTTTTACTTATAATTTAATTTATAATTCAACTATAAAACTTTTCATGCTAATTATGAATCGGGATACATAGTTCTACAATAGTAAATTAATCTTTAATGTTAATTTTATCTTAAATGTTAATGTTTTCTTTAATTAAATGCAATTGAAGTAGATATAAAAAATAGTTTTTCTTTTCCAATTGTGTTATTTATCTTTAAAATTAAGAAGCGATATAAAGTTTCCTGTTTTTATTGTTTATAGGTACAATATTAGGTGCTATGAAATAAACTATTAAATTTTCTATAGAAAGAATTCAAGTATAAGGCATGAAGTAGTCAAGTAAGGCATAAAAAAGACATTTTTGAAAGTCACACTTAAAATATTAAAAACCAGATCCAGAGATAGATATGATGATATTTTCTCAGATATTTCCGTGTATTGAGACTGTTTTCCTCAATTTATGAGTGTACTAAAATCGAGCTAATTTGAAGAATGAGTGTACGTAAATATACTCTTTGCTATATACACGTGTCATAAGTTCAAATACTTACTTTTACGAACGTTTGTTTCTCGCAACAAATCATTGGTAGAAAAAAGTAAATAAATCTTGGTCTTTTATGAGTTTAAAATGCATTGATTCTACAAAATATATTTTTATAAAATGGGTGTTTTTATAAAATGGGTGTTTTTATAAATAATGGGTGTTTTTATAAAATGGGTGCTAAAATAAATCTATCAAATGATGTTCAGATGCTCAGTTAAATTCATTCGGTTGTTGTTAATTAATTAAATAAAAGGATTCAAGACTGACTTGCGAGCACTGTAAAAATGTCCAAGATGGATTTTACAGTAATTTTGATTTTACGGATGATGCACCCAAAGAGCTTTATACCTTAATTTTTCACAGAGTCTTCAACACAACTATGTTAAAACGATTTTTTTATGATTAATTACAATAGTAACATTCATTTTTTTTTTAACCTTGCTATTTAAAAAGCATTTCACAAAATTATCACGATGTCGTCATTCAAACTTTAAATTTTGAATTAGTTTTGCATTTTGCATTAGTTTTGTACTTTGTAGTAGTTTTGTATTTTGTGTATATTTTGTAATAGATTCCTATATTTGTTAAATGATTTTGATAAGACACTTTTAAGATATATTTCGTATAGAAAATCTTATTTTAGTACTTGAATATGCTCTTTCAAACGGCTTTGGTATCCCGACGACCTGGGCTCGAAGTCGAGCACTTTACGGTAAAACAGTTTAACGAGAACAGATACCGCGCACCCTCGGTCCCTATGCAGGCTGGTCAAAGTGGTCACCTACCCGCTTACTGACCGCAGCCAGTGACGCTTGACTTTGGTGTTCTACTGAGAACAGTGTATTTTAGATCAGTCACTGCGGGTCAAAAAAAGACATGTAATTCGATGCTTATTCAAAATTGTCAAACTGTAACTGTCACATTGTAACGAGTAACTGTAAATAAACGAAACTTTCCCTTCGATAATGCTGCTCTACCGTGAATATCATTAGTCTATATGGCATTTAAATTATTTTGGAATTCTTAGATTGAATTTGAAATTCAATGTTGATTCTCTCTACTTTCAACGAAACATTGGTTAAAAATAATTTAGCGTTATCACTCAGTTTAACTTAGAGATTCTCAGTAACTTATAAGATGTATAAAACAAAAATATTTTAAATCGTTTTATTTTTTAAAACAAGCTATTTCTACTGTTGCCATTAACAAGTTTGAAATAGTTTGCCTGCTTCAAACAATTACCATAATTTTGTCAATCACTATTTTTGCCGATACGTAAAAGCAACTAAAACATAGATAAACATAATTTTGTTTACATAAAATCACCAAAAATAATACCCTATCAAAATATTTTTATAGAGAAACTAGCTGACCCGGCAAACGTTGTTTTGCTGTATGAATTATTTCTAGAGTATGAAAATATATCTTATTTATTGTAAGTGCGTGCGTATGTGGTATATGAGTGGAAGAGGCATGGAGCACTGTGAACGATGACGGAACGGGAAAATAACAACACACCAAATAATAGATTTTTTTCTAATTTATTGTAACTTTTTTTTATAAATTATATATACAACGAATTCTGAAAATATTAGTCAACAATATTAATCTCTTACTACAATGGAGTGTACAATATTTTTTGTCATTCCATCTTTAGCTAACACAAATAAACTGGATGGTTTACCCTCCCGAGAGCATGCCACGTATAATTAATTACCTGTGTGAAAAACTTGGAATGCTCAAATCTAAGCCACAAACAGACATTGTTTGGCTTTGAGATTTATTAATAGTCATTGCAAATGCCAATCTAATGGGGAACTGAATGCGTTTAAATTGAATTGGCACATCTGTGGGTATAATAGAGATTAGTGGAAATAATATACTTTCACCCCGGAATTTGTCATTTAAAATAATGACTTCGATAACGTTGTTCATTAATTTTTTAACGACTAATCGCGTGCTGTTGCTCAGCCGTGGTCGGTTCAAAATACGGGGGAAAATAAGCGGAGATCCAACTTTGAGTACTAAATTATGCGGCGGTATGCCTGGTAAATCCAATGAGTTTAAAAACTCATTGGATTTACCAGGCATAGGAAAATTTGCAACTTCAATGGGATCGCAAACTGCATCAATGGATTTAGATGTTACCAAGTTAACAACATTACGCCACAGTCATCAGTTATCGAATCTTTGTGATTGTTCCATAACGTTTCTACACCGGCCGGGAAACATGTAGTTAATATTATAGCAAATAGTAGGCGAATTTGCTTTGCAGAATAGTTCAATGCTACTTCAGCAAGAATACATTCCCACTGGTTGTCGTCTTCCAGCAAGCCGAGTGCAAGGCATGCATCTTTGCACTCGGCTTGCGTTGGATGCTGATGTCGATCAACTTTACGTATATCTCGAAATGAGAATGAGCCGGTGTAATTAACCAACAACAGTCGAAAATGAAAGCAGTCAGTCTGTCTTGGATTGACTGTAAATACTCTCCCCAAGGTGTTTGATTTGAATAAACCGGGACAGTCATCAACCGGTGTGCCTTGCTTGCGGGGTGTCCATTTTTTTGTTTGAGACCATGTGAAATAGTGTGGTACTTCTGAGTAGAGTAATGTCCATACAAAGGCACCAAAAGCATCCGCACGATTACACAATTCAAAAAAATTCGTGGAGTGTAGTTTTTGGGGGATTTATAGCTCGGTCAATC